GGGTGGATCCCATCCAGCCCCATAGATTTCTGCGTGTTTAAGTGGCGTACTAGGTCACTAACCATTCCCCCTTGGATTATGGGGGCTTCATTCTACTCCCCGTCCCTGTCTTCCAGCTCAGGGGGCTGGGTACCCCGAGAACAACTGGTCTTTCTATTAAAGACTGAGGCAATGAAGGCATGAAGTACCTCAGCCTTTTCCTCATCCTTTGTCAATATGTTTCCCCCTGCATGCAATAAAGGATGGAGATTCTCCTTAGCCCTCCTTTTGTTGCTAATGTATTTATAGAAAAACTTTGTATTGTCTTTTATGGCACTAGCCAGATTAAGTTCTAGTTGGGCTTTGGCCCTTCTAATTTTCTCCCTGCATAACCTCACAACATCCTTCTAGTCCTCCTGAGTTGCCTGCCCCTTCCCTTTTTTTTCCCCCCTGAGTTCCACCCAAAGCTCTCTGTTCAGCCAGGCCAGTCTTCTTCCCTGCCGGCTCATCTTTTGGCACAGGGGGACGGCCTGCTCCTATGCCTTTAAGATTTCCTTCTTGAAGAATGACCAGCCTTCCTGGACTCCTTTGCCCTTCAGGACTGCCTCCCAAGGGACTCTGTCAACCAGGCTGCTAAACAGGCCAAAGGCTGCCCTCCAGAAGTCCAAGGTGGCAGTTCTGCTGACCCCCTCCTTACTTCTCCGAGAATCGAAAACTATCATTTTGTGATCACTATGCCCAAGACAGCCTCTAACCATCACATCACCCACAAGTCCTGCTCTGTTCACAAACAAGAGGTCCAGCAAAGCACCTTCCCTAGTTGGTTCCCTCACCAACTGTGACAGGAAATTATCTTCCAGACACACTCCAGAAACCTCCTAGACTGTTTCCTCTCCACTGTATTGTATTTCCAGAAGACATCTGGTAAGTTGAAGTCCCCCATGAGAACAAGGACTAGCGATTGTGAGATATGGGAGCCAAACCAATCATACTAGACATCTCCGTTCACAAGGCCATGGGCACCATCAGGAATGTGGCGAAAAGACAGAGTAACCCTTGCAATGAAAAGATGACCTGAAGATGCATAAGTGGGTATTTAGGTAGATACTTGTCCGTCTTTTTTTATTTGTCAAGCCAACCACCATCAAAGACAAAAGCCTAGCAGCTAAACTGCCCAGAGTTCCTACCAGCCAGCCTACCTAGGGCAGCAACGCAGAAAGCACTGCAAAAGGGAGAGCCCTGCTACATATGATATCTGCTCACATAAGATTTTGGATGAATGAGACTTATTAAATAGCATCCCTGTTCTGAAAAAGCCTATACTATTTAATGAAAGAGATGCACAGGACACTAATATTTACCGTTTATCCAGTTAAGCAATAAGAAAATATTATAGCTGCAAAGCAAAAAAAATCTGTTACCTAAATAGCCAAACTTAGGGAAAAAAACCCCAAACCAAACCAAACAAACAAAAAAATCAGCTTTGCAATCATCATAAATGTGGAAAACAGTGCATCTTGACTTCCTGTTATCAGTTTCTTGCCTATACACTGAAAAATATTAGAAGTGTTACTCCTACTGTACAAGGATGCACAGCACGTCTGTGTTGTAGGAGGGATGCTCAAATACAGGGGAAAGGGCTGGGAAAGCATTATTTTGAGGGGGGAAAACTCTGCTAAGGGGTGGAAGGTAACACTTGAGTGTAGATGTAAAAACCTTACAACAGTTGGATTTATGGGGAAGCAATCTCCAGAAGCTCCTTAAAGTACCTTCAGTTTCTTCTTATTATTATTTAAAACCAGTCTAAGAAAATAGGAAGGTCACTTGTTCAGGCACTTGATGTTTTTTTTTGTTTGGGTGTTTTTGGCTTTTTTTTGTTTTGTTTTGTTTGTTTGTTTTAAACCAAACCCCTTGGTTTACCAAACCCCTTGGTTTGGTAGTGGCATCCATCACAACTAAGAACTGAATCCAAGCATTCTGAAGACAGGAGAGCAAGACTAGCATGATAGTCTCTGTGCTGTGTCAGCAGGTTTTTTTTGGGGTGTTTTGTTTTTTTTTTTTTTTAAAATTATGGGTACTACAAAAGCATTAGCAGGAGTACAAATTACATATTTCCCACCCCCCCGCCACTTACAGAATGTCTGCTGAAAGTGAGTTAGTGTTGGTGCTTCTGGAGCAACATTGTAGAAATGGGTCTTCAGAGCTCCACTCACAAGCAGGTTGTATGCGAGGTCTGTTATGTTAATGCCCACGATAGCAAAAGAATAACTGTAAGAAAAAGAAGCAGCAACATTTGTGGAGAGTTTGTCTTCTTTCAGCACACTATAAGAAACACTGAAGACAGTGACATTGCAGATTTTGTATACTGAGGTGTATCAGTTCTCTCCCTTGTGAGCCTCCAAGGTGGGGTGGGTGGAAAACCTGCTTTGTACACTCTAATGGCAGTGTTTCTCTTGTGAAACATATGGTCACAGTGAAAACAGGAGTTTCATCGCTGTGCCAGCATTTTCAGTGGAGCAGCACAGATTCATTCCTACGGAGTAAGAACAAGCCCAGGCGTCCCTGTGCTCCTGCGCTTGCCTGTGATGCAGGGCAAGCACTCCACACAGTGGCTGTGTCTGCAGGGTGACCCATCATTTGCTATTTTAACCCACCTGCCCCACTGGAATTCTTCAACCATAGTTAGGAACATCAGATTGCAACAATCAGTCTATAAAGACATTCATATAGCTAAAAAGCCTGTGAAAAAGATCCAGCTGAGTCACCTCCAATTTCTTGCTAACAGAGAACTAGATACAGAGGCCAGAAAACAGGCAAAAACCTAAATCAGAGCATGCTGGAAATAGAAATAAGAAAATCAGACTCATGAAGCAAACCCCTGTCCTGCTAAAAGATTATCAACAAGGAAAGTATATTTAGGCACAACAGAACTCAGAAATTGGAAGTTATTTCTTAATTTGTGAGCCTGTTGCATAAATAACTTGCATTTCCGGAAGTGACTATTTCCCAAGAAAACATATAATGTCCCACACTGACATTTAGTGATAAAAGCAAACTTGTTTAGTTATTCAGTGATTTTTTTTTTTTTCTCCTCTAAACACAGCTGTCTTCTGTAGACTGTCCTGGGTGTTTTTTCAATTATCTCTATCAAGCAACCCAAAACACCTTCCTCTTCTTTAACCTTTGATATATTTCAGAAGGGAAAAATAATAAATAAAAGTCCAGAAGTTAACTGCAATGTGAGACCTAATGGCAAGTTTCACAGAAAAATGAAATACGGGCATTAAAATGTTGTATTACAGATTTTCAGATACACTCAAGAAGGAACATCCAGTTCCATGAATAATGGAACTCATGAATAATGCAGCTATACCGAACCCACTCCTTAAGAAGAAAAGAAACCCTCACTACTATTTCTTCCCTATTATACTTCCCTGAAAGCAGATCAGAACCTGGCTCTGACAGTAAGAAGTGAGAATTGATCACGTTATGTGTTAAGAAGAATTAAACAGATACTCATCGCTGCACTATTCATAGTGTACAGAGAAAGCTTCTCCTTGCTACAACATTTTTGGGTTATTTTTCCTAGTTCTTATTTCAAGCTGTTTTTGCTGTAATCTTCGATCAAAATCAAGGTGTGGTTAAGATAATATATGTTAGCATGCACACTGAAATTTCCTTTAAAAAGTAACCATGAAACACTTTTTTCCCCTCAAATATACAGCATCATTGTTAACTGTGGTGTTTGTGGCAACTTTAAAAAGATTTTTAAGCTTACCCGATTGCCTTATCAAACTTTTTCTTCTCCCATTCGGCTTTGCTGAATTGGCTGAGGGGGAAAAAAAAAAAAATTTGAAATCCAGATATCGTCATGCATTACTAACTGACAAATATTTTCTTTCAGTTTCTTTGATATTATAACACTGACTGAACATGGTATTTTACCTCCATTGATATAGCTAATCACATTTAACTCTGCTTCTGATTGAATGGGTTGGTATAAAAAGACTTGAAATGAGTAACTGGCTTTATAGCATTGCTGATAAACTTGTCTCATCGTTACAAAGTACACGCCTACGTCAACGCTCTCAGTAAAAGCCAATTATTTTCTATATTGACCACAAAGATAATCCACTTCAATTAAGTCTGAGCTATACAAAAAGTTGAAAATATTACATTTCTTTTAACTAATCAAAGATGGTTTTAGCCTTTTGTGTTTTCAAAAAAAAAAAAAAAAAAAAAAAGACACTCATCACTGGAGGCATGATTCACCTGAAGCAGCAAACATGAAAAAATACTCCTCTGATAAAAAGTTTTTATGTGCAGCCAAATTAGAAACCACTTGACAGCCAAAAATAAGGAACAGGATTTCCTATTGTTTGGCACAATAATGCAGAGCTTTTCAAGGACACAGAAGGTCCCTCCTTTAAAACAAAATTAGTTAGGGAACAGATTGATTTTAGACTAAATTTCTGCTGTTCAGCAACATTTTCATTTGAAAGAGCTGTGTGATGCAACCAGTCAGCTGACATCCCACCAACCAGGTTTTAATCTACTCAAATGGAGCAAGTTTAGCAGAAATCATTGCCTGCATTTATCACCAGCTAATAGCAGGCACGGAACTGACCCTAACCAGTGGGCTACAACTTAGACATGCCTGTGGGAGTTTTTGCCTTGGTAAGGCAGATCAGAGTTTGCAAACTTTAGATCCCAAATTATAGACAGCTATGTGTGAAAGCGTTGTTCTTGGACTATACTTGAACTACAATAAGTATGTATTACACTAAGAACAATCCCTTGAGCTTCATGTAAATATAGTATTTAAAAATTGGTGCCATTAAGTATTAAAGATGCCAATAGGTTCATACCCATCCTGACCTGAGTGTTACCAGGTGGCATGCATGAGGACAAAACTTCACCTCCTAAATGGTTTAGCATACAGGAATAAATCAGTCTTCACTCATTCTCTAAAATCTTAACCGTCTTTGTAGGCTGTGGCATAACATCAGTTAAAAAAACCCCAAGCAAACATTGAATAATAAAGGTGGCACCTGTAGGATGTGGACAAGCAATACAGTTCAAGAGAAATAGAAATTACATTGATCACGATCACATCAGAAACCAGCACGGCTGCTAAGCAACCACACCAGGAAGAACACCACGGGCACCACCAGCAGCATCTATCTTCTACCGAATGTTCTTTCAAGGGATATAAATTGCACATGCTCACACAGGATGTTCATTGGTAATCAAACATGTACATGAAGAACACTAATGTGTTCCAAGTGCTTTTTGTCACAGAATTACCATTGGGAACTCGACCACAAAATACTGAGATCAAAAGCTTCACAGGATTCAGATGTGGACCTGCTATATGGATATCTAACATTACTTGCAGAAGAAAAATGTCTTTTAAGGCAACTGATTACTATGTAACTGGCTAAAAGGCATCTCCCCCTCCCCAATAACTATGGAATAAATCTCCTATTCACAAATCATTCACAACACAAAATTTTTGCCACTTGAAGGTACCTAATCTCTCAACAGTCAGGACAATGGACTAGCCAGATTAGACCCATCATCAGTCAAGGCAGACAGAGTATGTGACTGTAAATAAAGGGGCTCTTCAGCTGTGCTAACAAGTCCTTGGCCTAGAATACTTTTGATTATCAAGTCAGTCACTATGCTGTGACCGTAGTGGCACTGCTTAGGCTTTTTTCCTACAGGTAAAAGTCACACAAAATTTGTTCGTTAAGCCTAAGTACTAAATAGGCCTAAAATACAGTGCTTTAGCTACATGAAGAAAGGTTGATTTCATTCTTTATATATAAGCATGCTCAGATGTACCCAGTGTTGCACTATCAGCTACATTTGAGTTAACTTTAGAGGAAGGAATATGGATCTCTTGGTGTTGCAACAAAGACTTTCAGTTTATAACACTCCAAACTGCAGTATGGTTTGATCTTTATTTACATGTAGGGTCTCATAAAACTAAGAGAAAAGAAAAAAAAAAATACCTTAGTTCCTTCTTAGTGACTTCCCTTCATTATGAAAAGACAAAAGAATTAAAAGAAAGGTAAATAAAAATACAAAATCACTTGAAATTAGAAGTATAAGTGAAAACATTTAACACTAACTTTAACTATTTCTAAGATTCAATATACAAGTTTGCCTCTTGGACTTGATCACAGTTTTCAGGATCAGTACTTGAAAACAGATAGCATGTGGCAATACCCAAGTATATGAGCTACAAAAAGAAAAACAAAACAAAACAAAACAGCCCCCTCCCCCATACCAGCCAGCACAGTGCTCTCTCAAGTTATTTTTTCTGGTCTCAAGCATTACCTGTATTTAGGCTGAAGAGAATCAGAGAGAACTTGCTGAGCTATCTCAGTGTCCCATTCAGCAAAATACCTGCAGATATATATGTTTAGGGTGAATTGTTAAAGAAACACAACAAAAAAAGCATCTTAAGTCATACTAAGTTGTCCATACACACCCTTTCAAAGGTCACTACATGTGTTATGCAGTATAAGTAGCATTTAACGTGTTAAATTCATTAAGCTACCACTCAGACCCCCAAAACGAAAGATAAAAGTAGCCTTAAATTACAAGTGCAATCCTATAAGCGCTTAGTGAACGTGCATTACCAGAGTCCCCTTTCTATCCACCCTACAGAAAATCAGTTGCTTATTACTAGAGCATGTTGGCTGCTGAGCTCAAGGGAAAGCAATTCAGGCTTCTTGATCTGGCAGATTCATTAAGGAAGATGAGAGTCATTACAGGAGACTAAGAAATTAAATACATGGTAGGGATTAATCTCCAATGGAAGTTCAAAGCCAGACTCAAGGGTCCAGATCCTCAATTGAGCTTTGCTAAAGAACAACTATGGACAGTGGATGATTTATGTCCTTCAATCTGTAAAAGCAGAAAATATTTCTTTTTCCCCTCATAGAGAGAGGTTATTTTACCAAATGTTTCTAAGTTATGTAACTACCTGCAGCAAATATAAGGGCTGGAGGAAATAACAGGCATTGATCGATTCCCAAATTACCAACCACAGATATGGTATGAACACCTGGTATGCGTGAGGCAGAAGGGAAAACTGATGTAAACTCACTGCTTAATTTTGAGTATCAACAGAAATTGAAGAAGTAGTCCAACTACAGAAGTCTGCCATCAGTGGCTGCATTTCAAGTGTTTTACCTAAGAATTCAGCATGAAATTCCCAAACAAGAAAGCTGAGCAGTAACATAACCCTCTCACCTACCCACTTCCAGGGCATTTTGTTTAAGGAGATCTAGGTATTGGTGGAAATATACTTTACAGTTTCTTTTTCATGGCAAGAGAGTGCTAACTTACTGTGTCACAGAGAAACTAAAAAAAGGGCTTAGCAAGCGGTATTACCGAGTTGAATTAGGAATAGTGAAAGAAAGGAGACCCCTTCAAGAAGAGAAAACCTCCAAAAATTGGGCTAGCAAATAAATTCTTTCAGTTTTTTATATGAAGTCCCTAACACTTTTACAAGTTATTCCCACAGACTTGCTAAAAATCTGCAAGTAATGCTTCTTTTCATGACTTCAGACACACATAAACCCATCTATAGAGGAACATACTTACACCAAGTTGTATAAGCCCAGGAGACCCATCCCTCTAAAGTCTGTTTTAGGATCGTCACCTTGGAAACCAATTTCACACCACTGCTTCGAAATCCGAGCTTTCAGTGGCGAATTGGGCTTCAAGCATTTCCACAACTAGGAAGATTACAGGTAAAACATAATGAAACTTCCACACATTAGTAGGGCTTTTTCTTCTTTTTAAACCAAGCTAAGTTCTGATGTAACATCACTGCATTGCTATCCAAGCAACCCAAACATAAAATCAAATTAAATTCCTGGGGGTGAGGAGGGTGGGGGGGAAATCCCAAACTACTCTTAAGTATTGCAGACATTTCAGCCCTACAAGGCCCTTCCAACCTTATCGGCAGCTGCTGTAACATTTTGCACAAGGGCTTGTTTTGTTCACGCTTTGTGCATCAAACTAGCATCTGCCTCCATAAGCACAGAGACAGGAATGGGCTGGAATTTCGTTGTAAATCACTGACAGAGCGGCAGGCAATCAGCCCTCAGGTCCCTGAGGCTCTGCAGCAATCTTTTCTCCGGCATCTTTTGCAAGTCTCTGGAAGGGTTATAAATCAAGAGTGCTGACTTGGCTACTACAGTGCTGAAAAGCAAATTGGAAAACATAAAAAAAATAATCCATACAAGAATAGCATATGCCACCTTCATATTTAACTAAGGGGTGAATCATTCATTGATCTCACATGAAAAAAGGACAAAGTGATTTAACAAGCCAGATCCTCAGCTGGAATAAATCCACTTAGCTGCACTGGGCCAGCGACTTTAGTGCCTAAATATCATGTTGCTAGGCACCTAAAAGCAGCCTAAATTGACATGTCTGACAAATACATACCTTTCCACACACTTCATGTGCCATATCACAAACTCACTCTGTCCAAAGGTGCATCAGGTGTTCTCCATAAACCATGAGTTGGTGAGTAGGGCCTCAAGGAATGCACTTAGAACAAACGTTGAAAGAGCTGTATGCACATTTCCCAAATAACCCAGAAATTGTATTAATTTTAGCAATTCTAACTGCATTTAAAATCAAGTGCCCTAGGAAGGTTAAAACTTTAATGATTTCACTTTGTAATGACTGCATAAAGCATCATTGTTTAAATCATATTTGCTATCTTTCTTGTTCATCCATTGACAGTAAATACAGTATTATTCATTAGTTCAATCACATTAAGTTAATCTTTCTCCCATTCATAAAGTGCCCTCCTGGTAAACATGAATAAATGATAGACATTAAGAACTCGAATTACCCACTGCAGAGATCACTTAGCAGAATATCTAGAAGGAATGAAAACCAACCAGCCTATTCTTCCCCAGCGTGGGTTGGAAACCAAATTAAACCCTTGGACATATTTCCATTTGACATGAGAATTCGCAAAAGCAGAACACCTGCTGTAAACAAGTGCTAATACACAGGTTACACTGGAGGCAGATGGTGAAGCTGATACTTTCTTCAACACTATGAATTTTACAGCATGAGCTGCACTATTTAATCTCCCCTCAGACAAACGCTCAGTTTCCATTCTGCTTTTATTCTTCTGCAGTTATGTTTTTAAAGCACTTGCGTGACTACACATCATTGCTGACATGATTCTCAGGAGCATCTAAGAACCAGGACCTGGCCCTCACAGGCTGGGTGGCCGGGAAGGAGCCAGCTCCTGGGTGCTTCTCACCTGTGATCCTGTCCTCAGACCCAACTTCTTGCTCTCTGGGCAGTGTAAAGGCCCAATGTATTTAGCAATGCTTTCCTGGAGCCAAAGGCCCTTGTTAAACCTGCAGCTAGGTATCTGGTATTTTCAGGGACCAACATTGTAGGCTGGCACCTGGATCTTCCACCTCCAAGACACAGGTTTCCTCACTGGGTAAATCGGTGTGTCCTTTTAGTTAAAGCCCACTCTATCCCCAAGAAATTTGTGCTTTTGGCTGCACAGGGGCAGGACTTGAATAGGAGGAGCCCATCTGCCCCATCCTACCTGGTGGCTAGAGCATTCCTTCAGGGGCAACTCTGGATTTTGACTCGTCCTTGGCAAGACTCCCACCTCCCAGAAAGGAGCCAACCTTTAAGATAGCCTTCCAGACACCTACAGGAACTCTCTGACCATTTGAAGCATTTCTTAGAAATAGTTAACTAATTGCATCCTTAAGTGCTTATATAAGATGCCTACTGGGATTTTGGGAAGTGCCTGGAAGCTCAAGTAACCAAGATAACATTTCCAGAAGCTCCCACTGTAACTTGTATAAGGCACTACACTGCAAACTGCAGCACGGAAGACAGCTTCATCATCATGTGCTGTAAAAATCCCAACAAACAAAGTTGGATGGGGACAGAAACAAATGAAGCTTTTAAGTTTTCAATATTTTTGTTTAAAATAATAAAAAACGCAAACAGGTGGTATGTTTTTATAAGACATGGGAAAATTCTGTAAGAAGGCATTTTGCTTGTAGATAAACTCATTATCACTATTCTACATTTCTTGCCATTTCTCTAAAGCATCTTGCACTAGCTATGGTCAGAAATAGGATCAGAAGAAATACTGGGACTTGCTATTAGACTATTTTCCATCCCCTTTATTGTCTCCTCAATTCCTTTCTAATATAAGAGCTCTCTAGCTCTCCCTCTGCTTATGGCTTCAAGATTATCTTCCTGAAAAAATACTTTTATCATCTGCTCCAGTGCAAGGCTTTCCTGAAAGCATGAGGTACATAAAACCCAATTGGTATGGTTTTCATCACTGTGCGTGTATTATCTAAAGAATGGTTTCATTTTGTTTTCATTTGAAAATGTATTTGGTAAATAAAAATGTGTAAGTCATCATCTCGCACCCTTCCATCCCACACAATGAAAGCTAGAGGTTTGCCATTGGGAAACATAGACAATGTCTTAAAAAATACAAGAAACTGAAGGAAAAAAAAATGTTTATTCTGGTTAAGAGAGAAAAATACCCTTCTCACATTGGAGAAAGGTGTACTGAAGCAGGACATACGGCTATTTTTCCAGAGCTCATAGCACAGAGCTGTTATCTGCAGTAAGAGCTGGGTATCCAGTGCCTAGACATAGTCCAGCCAAGGGACACGCATTCATCAATCAGGGAACGAGCTGCTTGCTTGGTGTTAACCCAGATTAGATTAGTATGCTGTATAGCCTTATCTTACAACAGGTACACGATGGAGGAAAGCAACAATACCTCTCAATGTTTTAAAGAGGTTTGTAAACCAGGCTGTTTGGAGCTGACATGAATAAAGGATGCCCTCTAAGTACCTCTTAAGCACCTACCTTCAGAAGCATTTCCTCATGTTGCAGATTCTCCGAATCGTACGGCTCTCTGCGCAGCTTTTCAACCTCTGCAATCAGATTTCTGTACCCCACAATCTGTAGCAGGCATGCCTGAAGAGATACTCCCAGCCTGAGGGGTGGGGGAAAGGAGCAACATAATCCAACTCAATCATATGTAGCCATGAAACAACATTACCGCGTACATACTCGTTTAATTCACATGAGTAATGTTACATCAATGAATTGATAGTCTAACACTTTAATTACAATGGGAGAATTTCCAAAAGATCAATATTACATTAAACAAGGCTTTTGGAAATGCATAGTCTTATTTAGTGCCTTCCTTAGATAATAAAATCTGGTATTTTTTAGATCTTTGAACAGTGGATTTTCACACATTGAAATCTTATTGTAACTATACACAGCAGCATTTTACGCCTGCTACAAGCACATCACTGAATCTTCCCCTCATTCAAATGGCAGCTTCTCAAACAATGCCCCGAGACCAGAGATATGAACTTAAAAAGGGGTGAGGGGGGCAACTCAGCAAAAAGCTAAAAATATCCATCTTGCTTCCATGCCACAAAAGCTCGCATAAAGAAGCTAAAACCCCGAAGTAATATAGTTCAAAGATCTGCTTCTAGGCAGCATTTTTTTCGGTCTTACGATAAGAATCATCATAATGGCTCTCTGTTCATTATAATGCAGATTTTACATTTCCTTTTTACATTTCCTGATGCATCGTTAAAAAAAACAAAACCAAAAAACCAACCCCAAAAATCAAAACAAAAAACTCTCAAACCCCCAAACCCCCACCAAACATATGCCTTCCAAGGCTATAAATTACAAAGACTTATTTCATTTTAGGTTAAGATTTTATATTAAATACAAGTTATGCAGTATACAACTGCCACACTTATAAGAATATTTAATTATATATGGGAATAAACCCTTTAATTTTTAATAATGTCTGAAATTATGTGAACACCTAGTATGCATTTGGAGGGCACAGTTAGATCTGTATCCTCATTCTTCTCTGGAACACAGACTGCACTGATATTAAGCTGCACAGGTTCCTCATCTGTCTTGTTTGATATGTTGAAACATTTTGTTTATTCTATAGTACTGTTAAATTTTCTGAGCAGAAGGATTTTCACTGCTTATCTTTTGTCTTTTGAGATTAATCTACAGAATCAGAGATGTCATCATTAGGCCATTTCTCTTGCTGCAATTTCTTGCTGTTTGTGGCTATGACAGTTTTGGAATAACCTATGCAGTGTTTTCCCTCCTTTGCTGTTTTTTTGGATTTTGTTTTGTTGTTTGGCGTTTTTTTTTTTTTTTTTTTTTTTTTTTTTTAAAAAAACATGCTTCATTTGCTATACCCTACAGTTTTACAGAAAGGCTGCATTTCAAAGAAAGCTGAAAAGCCTGACAAGACTGCATGTGAATTGCTGTAGTGCATCACTAAACCACAGCCATAATGTTTTTAACTACTCACTACCTCAGAATAGTTTAGAGCAGAACACCACAGGCAGTGGCAAAGCAGAGCAATTTTATATTAAAAAAAAAAAAATTTTTTTTAGAGTTCCAAGTTGCACAACATATACAAAGCAAGCCATGTTTGCACTTAATCTAAAGCCAGTCAAATGCTCCAAGCAATGTTATTCATGGAGGGGGATTAGTTTCCCCACTCTCCTTTTCATTAAGCTTTTGTCCTCCTCCTTGCCCCAGCAGCACCAAGCAGAGGACACGGGTGAGCTGCTGATGCCCCACGCCTCCTCCCTGCCACCCCTGTGCTGGTAGTGGCAGTTCTCAGAGCGCAGGAGCAACCTGCCTGGGTTTGCACCCCCACCTCATTCAGCTCCAGGTGCTCCACGAGATGGAGGCAAGTCCAAAACTGGGACTATTTCACAGACTGCTACCGTAGTTAGTGTAGACTGCATGTGTCACCTGGTTACTCAACCTACTTGCTTCCACCTCTAAACATACACACTTATCTCAGAGGCATTGATAAAAGGCCTCCCTCTCTTCGAGTCAGCCCATAGCATTTAAGAACAGCTCAGTGCAAAAACCCCTGGGATGCTAGTTCAGCTCTGCAAAGCTGCTACAGTAACAAAAATGACTGCATACAGATTTGCAGAAACACATATAGTATGACACATGGCCCCTTGTCCTTACCCCAGGAGATTTCAAGCCTCTACTATGCAAGGGAAGGTCAGAGCTTCTGAACAAGACAGTCTGAATGCAGGTTTTTTTATGTTCAAGAGTAGGCAAGCCAATGGATTTTCCTTAATCCTGTCTAAAGAAACAACTGACCTGCTTTTGCTGAAGTTTCTCCAGAAAAATTTAGTATAAAATAAATGCCTCACATGTAAAACTTCAGTGCAGACGCTTAAAGTTTAGCAGAACTACAATTAATTTAATATCAGGAGCAATTTAGCGGTAGGGCGCATTTCTATGTATGTGGCACCACCTTGCACATCCCAGGCCCTTATTTCTCACTGTTTTAAAGAGATACTTCACCAAATCAGGGGGGCTGTGTGTGAAAGACTCAGTCCTGTAAAATGTTGAGTGCATGGGTTCTAGTCCAAAAACAATTAGTCATTTGTCCTGTGCTAAGCATATAAACACTACCTGGATTAAACAAAAAATAGTTTAGGGGTATTTGTTTGGTTTTTTGTTTGTTTTTTTTTGTGGGTTTTGGTTTTTGGTCTTTTTTTTTTTTGCATGTGTGTGTTTTTTGTTTTGTTTTTTTTTTAATGTTAGGACCAGATCACTCAAAAGGTAACTTAAGGTTCAGGGGCCTGATTCAAGCAAGCAGAAGTTATTTGCACCTCTGTGCCCTCTCTCTTCCGGAGGACAGCATTTCTTCAGAGGCCAAAGGCAATGCCATGAGGAGAATCAGATGGTGATCTCTGGTGTCATACAAAATACTATTTTAATGAATTCCTTGGTTTTTACTGGAATTATTCCACCCAGTTACCCAAGGCTCCAACACTGAGAAGTGAGTACTTGAATCAGCCTGATTGCTAACGCTGCAGTTACTGATGTCCACAGGCCAGGTTCTAAGCTGTGCACGTTTACATCCTGCAGTTTTTCCTCATGTGTCACCTTCACTAATTTTGCCATCGTTGATTTTTTCTGAATTTTAGCTATCAGTGTCCTGTGCAATACAAGAGTACCAGAGCTGTGACACCCTCCTCAGATGTGCAGCCACTCAGCGTGGCCTCGCATCCACTTGAAACAGCTGCTCTTTCACCACCCTCCCTTTGAAGGTCACGTGGGCAAGGTTTCTGTGAAGTGACACCCCTGGAACAGCTCTGGCCCACTCCCAGAAAAACATTCATTATGAGAATGAGGTGTCATCTTTGTTTTGTTTCTCTTATTTTCTTCCCTTCTTTAATGGTTGGGTCGCCATTTTTGCAATCCAGGTGGACAATGGTCATGTGCACAACAGTTGTCTCTCAAGTTAGAGAGACATGCAGTGTGCTCTATTTCCTTTATGACCAGTGAAGCCTCATTTTAAGACTACCCAGTTACTGTCCTTTCCACTGGGGGTAGGGCTGGGGGGGGTGTCATTCCTGTAATGAGACAAAAAAAATTTATATTTTTCCAAATGAGCTTTTGGGTTTTGCTGTTGCAGCAAGATCTTGGGATCACCTTACCTGTTGATGCTGCTGACCACTTAAAGAAAAGTGGCCATCAATTTATGGATGCCCATTTTGGATTATGTACATCAATTTCAAGTTTGGGAAGAGGAGTGAAGCTCAGGACTGATCACCTGAATAATACAACCCTCAACATTTCTCCCACTGATTCCTGACCTACACCATATTGTGCTTTAAGGTAGGGGCTGAGAGGTAAGGCAACCACAAAAGTGTTATCACTTACTCTTGAAATACACACTTGTAAATTTAATGGTTTGTTGTCAATCAATTCTTACCGCTAACATCTTGTAGCATTAAAAGAATATCAGCTATGTTGTATTGTTAAAACTTGTGTTTGGATAATTAAAGGCAGTTTTAAATGTAAACCAGCATACCGTTTATATCAGTTACAACAGGGTGATTTCTTCCCTACTCAAAAGACTGCATACAGCTTTGCTAAGAAGCCATCACTGTCACTGCCAGGACCATCTGCCTTGGTGGTATTTTATCCCTGGGGAAGTAGCCCCCATAAATCAATGCATCAACAACATACTAAGACAGCATGATTCAGGAAGCAGCTAGATAAAGAGACTCGGGACTTGCCTATTACAGTCACCATAAAAGATGATTCATTTTTCCATCAGCTTTTTGACAGCAAAGCTTAAGTTGAAGTTTTATGCTGAGAGACAGAATTCATCTTCAAATTGTGTGCCATAATAGCTATGGAGAACCAGTTCTCCATGGACCTAGGCACTGAAGAAATCAATAATTCCCATTTTTTTGCAAGGAAACCATGAACTTACTGTGGATTTATATCTGGATTAATCCTTTTCAGCTCCATGATGTCATCTATAGTTTTTTCAATAGCATCAGGGTGAACACTTACTGAAGTTTGCAGCCTCTAAAAAGAGGTTTTAAACACATATTAATTCTTACGGAAACTATTATTCAATAGAAGTTAACAATGATAAATTTGATACCCAAAAGCTTCTAGATTTAGAGCCCAGAAGATCCAACTCAATATATATACATACCTTTCCAGTCTATTCAACCCTACTGACTGGTTTCAGAGCACTAGCCCTATAAGAACTAGAGTTGCTTTGCCATGCCCTTCTAGTCAGTCTATCGCATTTCTGTGGTGGCTGCCAGTGAAGATGATCTGCACTGAGACCTTTGATGAGTAGCTTCAGACCATCCACCTAATTACACTGGAATTGCTAGCCTTCATTTGACACCTCCTCTCCCAACACATTGCAGCAACACAGTAAAACATTTTTCCTTTCTCTTGCATGTCATTGCACTTTGTAGAGATGGCCCTGGAAGTTCAGGATTCAAATATCAACATGCCTTCCAAAAAATAAAGAGGTTGAACTTTCTTTGCTCAAAAGGTGCAAAAAAAAGAAGGTGCTTTGTCTCAAAACTACACAACTGCTTAAATGCAGGCTTTTAAATAAGATTCTGCCTTCCTGTTTGTGCTAAAAGTACAATTGGAAGCACCATGCTGAACTATGAGCTAACGTTTTTGCTAATGCTGAGGTAAGCTTTTCAATATCGGTGATTCTCATGCCAAAGAGAAATGAATGGCTGAATGATGCTATTTAACATATACACAAATGCTTTGTGAGAAGAATTTAGGTTAGCACACAACTAGTGCTACAGTGAAAGGATGAAGTGACAGAGGCTCTTCTCCTTTAATGTATTTAAAAGGAAAGCAGAGAACAAAGTTGTCTTGGCTATCTTGGTACTGCTGCCTTCAGCCTCTTTTATCCCTGCTTTCCAGACAAAAAACCTGAGGTGTAAAAACCTGAGGTGTAAAGTGTGTAAGTGACTGACTGCAGATTACAGAAATTCTAAGACAGGATGAGGAATTAAGCCAAGAAACCCCAAATTACAACACATCACCCTCGTCATCTCCACCATGGCCTGTTGCCCCCTTGATTCCATCAGTGCCACAGCATGCCTGTCCCTGGGGCACAGGACACTCTCCTTGACTTGGCAAGATCACCTGCTATTGCAGACACAAGACCCTCTTCAGAAGAGGATGGTTTTAATGTAAAATTGTATCAAAGCTTAAAGTGATTTTTTGGAGTGAGCGAACAGCAGACTGAACAAACCAACTGCACAGGACACAACAGAAAAGGTGAATGATGGGATCTTTCACTCACCTTACTTTTTGAACCTTTCAGTGATGCCTCTGTAAGAGAACAGTATTTGAAAGCATCATGTCAGACAAGCTAAATTTATATTGGATTCATTTAACAATTTATTTATTTATTTATAAGAATGAAGCCATGCTATTTTTAGCACTTGCAGAAAGGTACAAAGGCATGCAGAACTAAGTATTTTGCAGTTACCTATTTTCATAGTTCTGGCAGCTCCAGGTTTGGTATTGTAACAGATCCTTTGCAATTCACATCGACCTGTTAGTTTCCTGACCACGAATTTCAGGCACCGCCACAAACATTTGCAGTAGAAGTACAGGCATACCTGGACAAACATCCTGGCAAAAGAAGAAGCCTGAAAATAAGAGTCTTGAGCAGAGTTTGTTTCAACAAGGTCACCACCCAAACAGAAGGTACTTCCTCACCCCGAATTCCCACTGCCTAAGGGCACCTTTAAAGCAAAAGCAGCATTCACACTGCATTCACTGTTTATCCTGGTAAGTGTTAAATCATGCTTTTTAGTCTTAGCCAACAAAAAAACCACGCACAAAGCACCAGAACTGGAAGCACAGAATAAGTCAACTCCAGAGTTCTCACAAGACTGTTTCTAGAAAACTCTTTGCCCCCTTAAAATAAAAGGCCTATATATAGTTCCTACTAATGCTTTGGGGAAACAGGACTACATGAGGAGGGAGCACAGCTCACCCTGTTATCATGGCTGCTGAGGATCCAGGAAGCCACTACACCCCAGCTTAGGTTTGCCTCTGCATCCAGCTGCTCCAAGCAGAGTGGCTGGTTATACTGACAAACATGAACCAACACTCATGTCAGGCCCCTAAGAGTGAAGAGTGATGACTAAGGAAACCAAAGCTTCCCCCCTTCAGGAGAGAAGGTGTTTAAGAACCTGTCCTGAGCACTGCCAGTTCTTCCCAAGACCAACTGTTATACAGCACTGATGCTGTGCAATTTCTCAAAGTACAGAATTGACAGTAAGCCAAGAAAGCCCTTAGATACTGCATCCAGTTTTGAGCCCCAGCAATACAAGACAAACTTCGACAAAATGGATGGATTTCAGTGGAAGCCACCGAGATGGTAGGGATGGAGCACAGACCCTGCAAGAGAGGCTGGGAGAGCTGGGCTTGTTCAACCTGGAGCAGAGATGGCTTCAGGGGGACCTAACTGCAGTCCCCAGTACCTGTGGGAAGATCATGGCGGAGACAGAGCCAGTCTCTTCACAGTGGTGCAGGGCAGGAAGACAAGGGACAACAGTCATAAGTTGAAACATAAGAAGCCCAGCCTAGGTGTAAGAAGCAGCTTTTTCCTCATGAGGACAGTCAGGTAGTGACACAGGTTGCCCAGAGAGCCTGTGCAGTCTCCTTGCTCAGAGTTTTTTAAGCCCTGACTGGAAGAAGCCCTGAGCAGCCTGGTCTGACCTCAGAGCTGACATGCTGTGAGCAGGAGGTTGGACCAGAGACCTGCTGAGGTCCCTTCCAACCTGAACTATCCTGTGATCCTATGAAAGCCTGAAAAAGGCTGTGTACATGAGAAATGCTCTATTTTCAAGTTTGTTAGCATTGCAGCTGCTACCAAAGCCCACATAACTGCTACCACAATTACATAACACACCCCAAAAACAGATTTCATGGGCTTCAACTTACTTGGACACAATTTAGCTTTCTTGTTTCTATGGCTATGAAGGCACATATCCTGCTACGTTACCCAACTGTCAACCCCCATAGGGTGCACCAGGACTTGAGGTGGGGCAGGATCCACCGAGGGTCCTTGGGTTCAGAAGCATATCTTAGAAAAGGCAAATTGCAAAGACCTGACAACGGGAACATTGCCATCTAGACATGGTCCTGGGCAACTGGCTCTAGGTGGCCCTGCTTGAGCAGGGGGGGTGGACTAGATGACCTCCAGAGGTCCTTTCCAACCTAATCTTTGTGATTATTTTTCATGATTATGTTTTGGGAAAACATCAATACAGCTTTGATATGCTAGCTTGCCATTAAATGGTCAAAAATAATTCAGTCTATTATGTTCTAAGCCTGTGTGTATGCGTATTCATCATTAGCCCGTTATCTCCTCCACATGCTGTTGATGCTTTCAAAGGACAGTTATTTGTTAGGAGACTCTGTATTATCCTTTTCAATGGAGTGCACTGGTTATTCTGAAATACTGAATTCCAGATACTCAAATCAGTTATAGCTTTAATAAAGCTTGAAGAGCTCCATCACTTCCTAAAACATCATGAAGGGCATGGTGTAGGAGGACATTCAGGGAAGGGAAGTTAACTCATGTTAATGTCCACATAGGAGTTTAATCTGCTTTATGTTCACTTCAGCTTAATCCCCTTTGAAAGAGGATTAAGCTAAGGGAACTAAAGCCATTTTATGTCTAAATGGAGAGCATCCACACAAATATTTAACATGCTTTAAAACCATCCATTTTATCTTCACACTTTTAGTTAATTCACTTAACACTCCCAAACGCCTGCATGCAGGCAACCCCCTTGCCTTTATGCAATGGGAAGCCTTTATTTTAGATACAAAGTGAAACCTAAAGAATGAGGAATCACTCCCACGCTGGAATCAAGTTTTAGACAACCAAAAAAGTCTCAGCTGCTGACACTGAAATATCTGGATGTCATCCCCGAACCCCCATCCCCAAGGTGTGCCAGAGCACACTACTGTAAGGAGTTTGTACGTGCTTCACAGCAGGTGATCACCTCCAATATTAAGAACAAGACTAGTTATCAGGAGGCAAGTCCATCATCAGCCAAGCAGCCATTCTTTAAGTTTCCAACAGTCAGAAGCATCAGTTAAACAGTCAATCTCACATAAAGTCAACCAATGCCTTCAACTGCAACCGTTAATAGTGGCTTGAAAAAACCCAGAGGCTAACACTGGGTATTTTAGTTTTCCAGTAGACATTTGATATCAGCCTTCAGAGATTTGACTAGTCCACCATCTCTGAAGGATCCAAACACAACCTATAGCTATCCCTCAGCCTCCTCAGCACAGCCCAGCTCTGTACTCAGGCTGAAGGTCCAGAGAAATGAATACAAGAGATTAATGCCAAACTGGAAGGTGGAGTGTACTAACACAAAGTTCTTGGTTTTCACCATATATTTGTAGTGGAAGTTAAACTTGCTTTCTTTTGGCCTGCTTTGTTTCCAAAGGTTAGGTCTCTCCTAGAGCAACTCACTACCCGGAGAGCTCGTTTATATGGAAAGAAGGGAGGAAAGACTCACTTAACTTCATGTTAACAGCCCATGTGAGAAGATTTCCTTCTAATGAGCAAGGTAGCTCCCACAAAACCCACACCTCCTTTAAGAAAGTTCATGCCTACACTTAATTGCCTCCAGGGCTGAAACATCACAGTCCATTTCATTACTCAAAACTGTGTTTCTTACTGTATTGTGTTGATGTGGATAAATTTCCAGGGGAAAAAATATAACGAAAAAAAAAAAAGGAAGGAAGGAGAAAAAGGAAGGAGAAAAAGGAAAGAAAAAGTTGTTAATTATATGTTGCTGCCTTTAGGCTTAATGACAGATTTACAAATCAAAGGAAAAACTCTAAAAGGGATAGAGCTGTGATCTTCCATGTTTGCAACCACCTTCCCCACTGAAGTTTTGCTTTGGCTATGGTTTGCACAAACATTAGCTAATAAAAATGCATCTACTAAAAAAAGTCACTACAGCATGCAAACACTAAATCTGTGATTCACTAAAATATACTTAGCAGCTATTACTAATAAAGCAGACAAACACTAGTTTTGACTAGGTGGCTTATAGAAGAAAGTTAGCCTTTGTGGATACCTTCAATTTTCTACTACTCAGCCATCTCAAGCTTACAACAGCCGAAATCTTCTGTTTGTAACATGAACGGCATAAAAAGTAACACAAGTTTTGTTTCAAAGTGTTGTTCTTTATAAAAGGGAATTCTTGCTTGCAGAAGTCCTGTAATAAAAGCACACTAGTGATTAAATAAGAGAAGTTTTATTTTAGCTACTACGCACTTCAGTTCATGTAAGCAAGATGGAGACATGGCTATAAAACAAAACATACAGTATCACGAACAAGAACCCACATGGAAGTGTAGCATGAGCCACATATCTGACTATGGCACTGGTATTAGCTTCTGATTTGTTTTAGAGTCTGATTCCAAACCTCCTCTCCACTCACTCTCTTTTGTGGTTTTGTTTTTCCAGCTTGCCTTTGAAGGTTTTCTCAGCACAGAAAATAGCATGCTTCACTAGCAGTTTGTGTAGTCATATACAGCGATACTTCAGATCCTGAGGTGAGCTTTAAGAACAGACATATTACAGAAACGAAGGTGTTCCTCAGAGACTTGCAATCTACGCTTCCCCATCCCAATACAAGCTCCTTCTCCTCCTCCTGTATTACATGCAGCTGTACAGACCTACAGATTTGTGTTTATACATACAAAGTGCATTACAAGAGTTCATACAAACACTTATTCAGGTAAAACAAAGAAAAATCTGCATAATAAGATGCTGACGCGCACAGGCCCAATCAACAGGCAGTTCCCTTGCCAATGATGCTGTATGAGTGGAAAAACATGCAGCCATCCTACCATGAGAAGGGTTACACATTCCCAGTCACTGATGCCAGTCACTTGGACATCAGAAGCTACCTGTTAGCTCCTGAGCAATACCAACGCAACTCATCATAGTTCTGCCAACTTGGCTCACAGAAAGGGTCACTAAACTCTGAAGTCAATACTACAGAAAAATGTACTTGTTACTTGGGTTCCAAGGGAAAAAAAAAAGTCAAACCAAGAAAACATTCTGAAATGAGTAAGTATTCCCTTGCATGTCTTGAAGAGACTTATGGAACACTACCCAGTGCTTAAAGCTACCACCACAATAGCCTTAAGTGCCACAGAAATGTAAAGTTTTCTTCTGTATAATTAGCAAACATCACTTAAGGGCTGGTATATGCATCTATTTCACCTCTCCTTCTTCCTTGCTCTTCCACTTTTAACTTTTTCATATCTTCCTGCTGTATGTCACTCTACTACTCAGCTCTAGTTTTCTGCTAAGAACAGCTTCAACCAAAAAAGAATTAGGTAGTCAGTACCTTGCAAGGACTATCAGGAATGCTGCAAAACCAAGCGAGCAACCAATCTATACCAGCAATAACGGGGCTTAGCAGAGATTCTGGAGAGCTCTCTTCCATGACGGAGGGGATGAAGAAAAGGGGTTCTACAATTGCTAGGATCCTTGCAAGACACAGAGAAATTTAGAGCCAAAAAGAACACAAAGTAAGAGTACTAACACGGCTGCAGTCACGGCACTTCTGTTCTCCACAGCACGTGCTGCTCTGCCTGGGGTAAGAAAGCACACAGCAGCAAGAAGCTGAGAGAACTGAGCATGTTGTTTCACATCCTGACATTGCAAAGGGAAGGACAGAAGTGGTTCTCAGCAAGGCGTCTCAAGGTTTGCCCTTGACTAGCCCAACTGATGTGGGTCAGTGTGATGGGAATGGCACACATAATGGTTATTAAAATTTATATGTCTCTCCAATGACAGTACGACATCACATTTTCATGAAATCTGGCTTTTTATTTAAAGGTGACTGGCTCTAGCCAGCCTTCTCCGTGGTAAACAGGCAGGAGCAAAATTGAGCAAAGGTTACCAGAGTTGTCTAATATTTCTGTGGAGCTCTTTCCTGTGTGAGGTATGTTTGCCTAAATAGCCAGATGTATGTATAACGCAACATGTGGTATTTCAGTGATTTGAAGGGAAGTAGAGATTAATTACTGTGCAACATTTTTGAAACTAATAAAATAGAAGGTGCTTATTCCCTCCCCCTAGTAATTTCAGAACCTTAGTATTTTCAGAGCTAGTAACAAACAGAACAAATACTTTGGGTAAAAAGAAAACTTCAGCTAAATACCCAATGCTAGTGACTGGACTTAAAATTGGAGGGGCCCCACCCCCCCCCCCCCCCCCCCAAAACCCACTAGTTTAAAAGAATTGAAATGAAAGTCACTGAATCTACTTACACATAATTTTCTTTCCTGTGTGTCCTGTTTTAGGTCCTATGGATAGGAAAGACTCTTACACAACTATTTTTCCTGAAGGACATACTCAGCTCAGAGAAGAAAGTGTTATACATCAACATTTCCTTCCTGAGAATTCTGATTACGGCTTGAGAAGTCAAGGACTCATGAGTTAGTTAGG